ATCTTTCTGTGATTTTAAAATGAAACACCACTAATACATAGAATGGTGTTTCATTTTAAATCACAGAAAAATGTGAATTGGGGTTCCTTTTTTAAATCTGAAAATTGGGTTTGTTTTTTTTATCAGAAAAAACCAGGATCCTGGTCACAAGTATCAGTTTAAGCTCTTTGCTACTGAAAATGTTAGCTGGCTTTCATATCTATACAAACTAGATCAACTCCGTAGGTCAAGCTGAAACAGTAGATCAAAATTACACTCTTGCTTCAGAACAATGCTCCTAAAATTAGTCACAAAAACAGAGGTACAAACTTGCTTGCTCATCTCAAATCAGGCAACAGTCCCTTGAAAACTCTGTTTTTAACTTAGTGTTGTTGACAGGAAGTTTTGATATAGGTCATGCTACTGTCTATAGTCTTTTTTAAATAAGTCCCATGATTGTATATCCATAAATCCTAAAGAATGAAGTGTCAAGGGGAATGTGAGAAACCTTTGCAAAGAGCTGATTTTGTGGCGCAATAAAATCTGTTTTCAGAGGTCTTATATGAACCAATTAAAACATATAGAAAATGTAATGTCTCTTTCAGATGTGCTCCAAGTTACTTCTGGACACTTGAAGCCTGTTAACTTTTTAAAGAGTTATTTAGGTTGTAGTACTGAGCACTGGAAATGCAGTAAAGCTAGATTTATGACTGTACCTTAATTCTGCGCTCTCGTGCATTTATTGTGTCTGCTTTCATGGGGAACTCAGGGCAAGGTCCTTCCGGTTATTGTAGGGTGGGAACATGCATATAGGTAGTCACCACTGGGCATGTATACACAGCCATTACAGTGCATTTATTTAGTAGTTGTATTAGCAAGTACTAAATAAATGTGCAATAACTGCATTTATTGTGCCATAGCACCAGAGAACATCTTTTAGGTGATGCTGCTGTGCAGTAGCTTAATAATACTGTGCAGCAGCGTATAAGCACTGTCCATGCTGTGATGCGTTACTGCGCAGTATTTTTCAGCTACTGCACAGTCAGCATCTCATGGAGATGCCCCCACTGAGTAGCTAAACACTGAAAGGTCAAACCCAAATAACATGTTTGTGTGGACATCGCCTTTGGACAGATTCTTAGGTATTTAGATATCAATCTGTCTCTTTAGGTGCCCAACACCTCCATTCTGATACATCTGAAAGCACTATTTGGTGGTAGCATTGCAAGTACTTGGGTCTGTAGGTCAGGGGTTGGCAATCTATGGCCCATGGGCTATATTTGCTCCATGGAGCCATTATATCTGGCCTGTAGAGCTGGGACTTCAGTGGCATTTGACAGAGGGTTCTTCACTTTCCTGTGTTGTACCCCAACGAGGCAGCAGGAAGAAGAAGTGACATTGATGGTTACTGGGTCCTAGCACCAGCTTTCCTTGAATCTGAGCTGGACCATTTGGCCTGCCACTTCTGATCTAGGTTTCAGAATTTTAGCTAGTGAACATGTGCAAAGCCTTGTAAAAGGTGATGCCTCCCCCTGTCGAAGAAAACTGAAGCCTTGGAGGCTCCAAAGCAGGGTTTGAAGTAAGTGCTCCCTTGAATGCCTATCAGCAAGGTACTAGATGCATCTGGAGCATCCCTAGGTTATGCAGTCTTTTTATATAGCAGATAGTTTGGTCATTAGAGTGTTCATTTAGGTTGTGGCAGATCTGGGTTGCATTCCTTTTTTACCCAGTTCAGCCCAGAAAATTGAACTTTAGACTCACACGTTCCAGATAAGTGACTTGATAGCCAGGGTGGTGGTTGTTCTGAGAAGTGTCTTTCTTGGTTTCTCCTCGTGGAGATGCTGTTTGTTTGGGGTTTTTGTATATGTCTAGATCTGGGTCCAAGGTGTTGATCCCACCTCTCAGGTAAGTGGCTTAGCTGAAGTTAGGACTGAAGCTAGCCCAGTAAATAACTAGTTATACAGAGTGAAACATCCTCCTTAGCAGAGATTGAAGCATCTGCTCTGGAATTGGTAATAGTTTAGGGCACTCCCTTGATATGCAGGAGATGCTGGTTCAAATCCTGTTTCGGCCCCTTTTTACAGCAATGGGTAGTTTGGACAGCTCCTAACTTGGCTGTTTTTTGAGGAGCCTGTGCGTTGTATGGAAGCCTGGGCACTTCTGTCAGGATTGTGTTAAATGGCAGAGAGGTTGGACATTCTAGCTCACTAATATGTGCCCTTAATCTCTTTGTACCTCCATCTGTAAATCTGGGTAACTTTGTACCTCTGATGTTCTGGGAGAGTAAATAGATTAAAGACTGTGAGGGGTTATTGCTCTCCCCTTTGCCATTGATGAGAGAACATTATAATGAAGTGATCTACCAAATATATGAGTAAACTTATTTCCTGTTCTGTTGATTTGAATGTAATAGTCTATATTTGAATATAATAGTCTATATTTGAACAGGTGGCTGAATCCTTTATTTATTATTGGTCATAAACGGAAGCTTGAAGAAGATGATATGTACAAAGTGCTGCCTGAAGATTCATCAGAAAGGCTTGGAGAGGAGTTGCAATGGTAAGGAAAAACAAAATCAATATTCTGGTAAACTGCATCTTCACCTGTGAAGATCAATGGTGCATTAAGGTTTTGCCATGAAAGTAGTTTACTAAGCAATCTGGAAGGTCTGCTCAGCCATCTTGCTAGTGATGGCTCTGTTTTGTTTTCCTTGTCCTTGAAGCACTTATTTTCTATACAAGCATCAACTTTTTGTTTAATGAGAACCTATGAAAGGACTCATATTTATATCAACTACACTTCATTTGAATGGCACCCCATGAAATTCTTAGAATTGAAGACATTTTCTCCTCTGTCATTCCTTAATAGAGCAAATGATTTCCTATGCTGTAGTAAAGCTGGATAATATTACTTATCTACTGTCTTGGTGCAAAGATGTGGACATATCTTTATGCTTTGTCTTTTCTTCTCCATCCCACTACCGCTGAATTAGCATTGGCAGCTATATAACCTTAATAGGGTGGGGCACTGGTGGATAGGTTAGATGGACCAAACATAGTTTCATAGTTTCATAGTCGGTAGGGTCAGAGGGGACATAAGCAGATCATCTAGTCTGACCCCCTGCCATGGGCAGAA